TTTCGCCAATATAAAGATCAGAGCATTCCTCGCTCATGCTTTTTTATAGACAGAAGCATGGCTGTGCAATGGGATCTTATTCAAACTCATTTGAGTGGGTTTAAATTAAAGTGTTTACATGACAGCAAATAAATACTAAACACTTTAATGAAATGTATTAAATGATGACAGATATAAAGAATAATGTAAAATTTAAACTACCGGGTAAAAAGATAAGGAGATAATTTTAGACTTCATGCTTTGCTGAGTTTTTTCAGAAATTGATCAAACTTTAAAACTTTGGTAAAAGTTCTAAGTTTAAAGCAGAGAAAATATTTTAGCAAATATAATCAAATATGGGAGCAACTTAAAATCAGTTAAATTTTAGTTTAATTTACCACTAGATGTATTTAATTCCTTTATTTGGTTTTCTAAGACCTAAATGAAGCATAAAGATGTATCTGCTGCCCCCTCCTGGAGAAATGGGAGAATCTCAGCTCTACATTTTTCCACAGTAGTTTTATTTTCATGGGTTATTTTGAGGCTTATTTTGATGCATAGTGGAAAAAAAAAATGTTCTTGTTTCTGCTTAAAAGCTTCAACTAAAATTAATAAAATAATTTAAAAGAAAGGAAAATAAAAACCAGGATTTGAAGGTTAAAGGAAAGCGTTGCCATGTGGATCTCATCTTGGCTCCAAGCAGCTATAATACTGAAAATGTTTTAAAAGTTGTACCTGAGAATCACCGGGCCTCTGATCCTCATTAAACCCTTCAGTCTCCAGGGAGGAAAATGGAAGACATCAGACTGATCAGGGTTTAAATCTATATTTTATTGAAATACATCAACAAATATGATTAAAAAAAACTTCTAAATATTCTTTCTTTCTACCTGCATTTTATTGACCTTAATTAGGAACATTAATGGTTTAACACAGACGGATCATTAAATGTCACAGAGTTGGTTCTGTTAATTTTTCTTTGAGTTTTCAGTTCGATTCATGTTTTTCTTTTTTTGTTGTGTTTTTGGATATATTAGAGTTCTTAGGTTTTTATTTGTTGCCCTCTGCTGCCCTCTGGTGTTGTCCTCTGTTCCCACCTGATCCCAATCAGCTCGTTCATCCTCTCTTTGTTCAGTCAGCCATAAATTCCCTCCCTGTTTAGTTCCTCAGGGCTGATTCCTTGTCTCTCCTCGTCTTTTCCCGGCTCCTGATGTTTGTTTCCCCTGATGTCTCCATGGTTCTGGTTTCTGTTGCATTTTAAGTTGGATTTTTTGGATTCCTGCCTCAGTTACCTGTGAGTACAAAGTCTTTTCAATTAAACCTTAAAGAACTCACCTGCGTCTGCATCCGGGTCGTCAAACCTCAACCAAACCCTGACATTAAAGAGTCTTAACACTTTTTTTTTTTTTTTTCCTTAAGACCAATTAAGATTTTTTTTTTAAATAAAAGCCAGGAGACCAAATTATGAGAATAAAGTTTCCGTTTTCTCACAGTCAATAGGATTATTTCACAAATAATTTCTTTCACTTTAAACATCAGTTTTAATTTTATTATTATTTTCACACGATTAAACTCGGAGCAGCTGAATAGGAGACTCAGACAGTTTGGTTACCATGACATCCAATAATTGAGTACGTTCAAAGTATAAATATATTTATTTATTTCACAGGCACCAGAATTAACCAAAAGGCTACTTTTCATCTGTTTTTTCCTGGACAGACCTTAAAATGATCTAAACCTAAAAACACAACAGTAAGAATTTTACAGTGAAATATAAAAAAAATAAAGCCAGATATAACTATTAATAACTTGTTTAAAAATACAGAATATATATATATACACAAAAACAGCAAAGCCACAAGTGGCAAAACAAATTAAGTATCATTGATTGCTCATGTTATGCTCTGCTAATGGCTATAATAATGCTAGCGTGAGCAGCTAACTTCCCTTGAAGCTCCGTGCGTCGCTGTCAGAACTGATTAAACTTGTCTTGTAAAATTAGGCTCCTCCCAGTTTTGGAGGGGGAGGAAAAGGGGCGGAGCTTTATTAGAAACGTATATGATCAGTCTTTCTTCATTTTGTCCGCTATATCTCTATAGAATACTATATTAGTTTTATGAAAGAATCAGGCTAACCTGCAGCTAACATGCTAGCTTAATGTGACTATCACCTAAAAATCTACTGTTAGCTTAAAACGATGAGGAGTGATTAAAGTATCTAACAGACAATCTGAACCAAATCAGGATTTAATAATAAAAAGCTGATTTAAAAAGTGAAATAGTTTAAATTCTGGGATGTTTTGAGGTGAATCGGCTCCAAATCTGCACCTCTGCCTTCATCTGCTATAGTCTTCATCACGTCTGCAGCAGAGAAACATGTGTTCCCTGACCTTTGACCTTTAATATCCGCTCAGTTTATTTGCTCCCCCCTCTGATGCGTATTAAATCAGATATGCTGACCGTATGAGCAACGCCGCCCTACTTAACCCCCACTGACCCCCAGGTTTCCCCTCTAAATTCATTTAGACGCCCGTTTCTGCGTGACCCCGATACAGGAGAGCAGATTATTATCGGATTTAAAGAGGAAAACAGACGCAGAGGCAGAGCAGCGACATTCCTCAGTCCGATGTTTGGTTCTTCATTAAAACCAACAAATGAGTTCAGTCAGAAGCTGGAAGAGTTCATGTCTCTGAAGAAACGAAGGATTATTCACTGTTTTTATTTATTTATTCATTTCAGGCATTTAAATGCGTTGGAACAAACAAGCGAATCCCAGTTCATCGATTTAAAGTTATGAGTCATTTTATAAATAACAAGGGAGTTAAAGGGATGGAAAAACTTATTAAATCCAACCCAGATGGTCATTCAGAGTAAATATATATATATATATATTTTTTTTTTATTTTATTTTACTTCAAGCTACTTTTTTATTTCTTTAAGCTTACTTTGG